CTCTCTCTCTCTCTCTCTCTGTCTCTCTCGTTTTTAACACTCTGCAATGTACCGTTGCTGCCGTCAGTGGGTCGTGACTGCCTGCACTTCTAATGTAATCAACATCTTCTAGTTTTAATTGCATTTAACGTTGCGAACGGCGCCTAATTCGATTGTAACGGTCAGCTAACAGCAGCGGCAGCCGAGCCCTTTTGGCAGACCGAACACCCCTTCTGCTGTGGATGCCACAGCAGCAGCAGCAGCAGCAGCAGCCACAACCACTTCCAGAGCCGGAGCCGGAGCCACAGCCCGTGCTGACTGCGGGCTAAAATGGTTGTAGTACTTAATGAGTCTTGAAGGTAATTGGCTGTTTTTATTACCACGAGTTGACTTTGAATTCCCTGCCAACATCCTTCCTTCCTGTACTGGAGCACCGCGCCCTCTTCCTTCCACTCCCTTGCTGACATGGCTAATTATAAAATCAATGTAAGTAGCTGCATATGTGTATCTATGTCTATGTGTGTGTGTGGGCATGTGGCTTGGCAGCAGCATTGCCTGCAATTGCAGCTCCATCTGAAGTCTGGGTGTAGGTAAGCCGCCTGGGCCCGAGGCCCTAGGCAGGCAGCCAAGACACGACGCATATTGCACAAGACAAGAGACAAAGCGTTGCACCAACAGACACACAAACAAACAGCCAAACAGACGTCATGGACAGAGCATCGTGGGAGCAGAGCCCGCAGAGCCCGCCGACCCCCCCTCTCTGAGCAGGAGTCTGCGAATAGCGGGCAGCGGTAGACACTGCGATAGACACTCGAAAAACTTTTTCAATATGAAAAGAAGCTGGCAAAGGAGACAAACTGTGACTCTGGGCTACAATTGCACAGTGGTATAATCGATAACTGGCAAATATCGATTGTAAAAAAACAGATGTTTAGCTAAAGATAACAAACTAAATATGATTAGAATCGAGAATGATTCTCGATATCCATCATTGTATGTTGTTGGCCTGTATGACGCTACATTTCTAACAGTTGAAGCCGTTGATTGCCTTTAAATCGGTGTAAAGCTTGTTCGATATATTACACTTGTCCGCGATAATGACATAGCCGATAAACGATAACGGTAATCGAAAGTTGTGGGGGGAAAGGTCTGGAATTAAATGATTAAGGATAATGATAATGACAATGAGCAACTCCCTATCAAATAGATAATTTTCTACTTATAGCTTTTCAGCTAATTATCGATTATTCCTCATCAAATATGTAAATACGAATTTGTCAGTATTTTTTGTGACTTTTTATTTGACATTTAACTATGGAAATATATCGACAATCGATTAAATTACAGCTATCATCTAAAATTTAAAATAATTTATATTTATCGATAAATTGATTGTCTTTTTATATGTCATGAAGTTAAACAAAATATCTCGATTGCAATAAGTAATCGATACATCACTAGTTAAATTATTCCGATTGGAATAATCGATCACTTACTTTCGTATTAGAGCAAATCAATCGATGCAACAATTTGGCACAGTTTGAACCACTGTGCATGACGCTGACTGCCTGGCTGGCTGTCTGGTGGGCCGTCTGTCTCTATGTCTGCCTGGATGTGCACTGTGACAACAAGGAGACACTGGGAGACATATATTTATTTTCTTGTTCCATTTAAAAACTTTATTTATTGACGCTGATAGGAATCTAGTCATCTATCTGTGCGTTTAGCTGCGCTGCCGCCCGCCTCCACCTCCACCTCCGCCTGCGGCGCGGGTGGGGTACTCTGCATGGCCCCCATATCCGATCTGCCTCTCTCTAGCCAACCCTCTCTCTCTCTCTCTCTCTCTCTATCTATTTCTCCTGCTCGCTCTCTGTCATCTTTTGGGCGGCAAATGGCTTTCACATGTTCGCAGCTCCGGCAATAAAATCGAGATACAAATGCAACAAACTGAGCCAACAGCAACAGCCAAACACTTTTGCGAAAAGACAAACAAAATGCTGAGATAAACATTGACCAAAAACTGACCCGTTCGCATAGAAAAAGAAATGGGGGGCGGCCGGGAGGGAGGAGGGCGGCTGGGATGGGTGGTCGGTCAGGTGAGCCGTTTTACCTGTGAGTTACATCCGTGTGAATACACAGGCTGCAGACCAGAAAAATAGGGGGGGCGGTAGAGAGGGGGGATGGGTCACTTGGTTCAATGTCGCATTTTATTGATGTCGCCAATAAACTGAAAGAGCGACAGAGCGAGAGGGCGAACGGGTGAGTGGGAGCGAGAGCACACAATAAACAAAGTGGCGACGAGACAAGTTGAGCTGCGTTTGACTAAACTGTTTGGCTCTCGACGCTGGGGAATGTTGGCAAAAGCGTCATAATCTAAAAATCTTGCCGCCGGCCGGCCACGAGACAAACAAAACAAAACAAGACAAACAAACAGCAACAGCAACAGCAACAACAACAATGCAAACAGACAGCCAGCCGCTTGGACTTGGCCCTTGGCCCCACCGCTCGGCACAAAGAGCGGCCTTTGTGGACGGCACTCGAAATCAGAATCCAAAATCCACACAACGACACACAATGCAATTTTCATTAAGCACCAAAGTTTCGAGCAGCTGCCTTTCAGTGGTACACCTACACCCACACACACACACACACATGCACACATGTACCCAATGGCGCCAAAGTAATAGAGCAAAAGTTCTAATGGCACATGAGCCCCACACAGATATGAATCCAGCTCCAGCCTCAGCTGAGGAAGTTGACCCACAACAAAGGAAGCGGAAATGAGCTCCTCTCTCTCTCTCTCTCTCTCTCTCTCTCTCTCTCTCTCTCCCTGCGCAATTACCTTTGCCTCCTTGAGGCAATAGCTCATATAATGAGCTGCCCTAATGAGTGGCTTTCATTTCAAATAATTGAGCGAATGGCCAAAGAGATAATTGCTATCAGTGCATACAATCGATATTTATTGAAGTGCAGCAAGGTATACGATAGTCCGGCCAGGTGTATGCAGGTGTGTGTAAGAAGCAGAAGCTCTCTTTAGGCGTGGACAAAGGATGTGTTTTATGTGCAACATTTGTTGGGTCTATGCATGGAATCTATTGAAATGGGAGCTTCGAATATATTGAGGAACAGACTCTAACTCTTTTTCACTTCCTTTACAAGGCAGTTTCTATACACTCTATATAAATATGATCGATATATACCGGTTCTTATGTGGTATAAGAAATTAAATGCTTCAAACTGAAAGTACTTTCGTATATCATATTATATCATATATCATTTTGAGTTTCAAAATATTTTTTGGTATTTATTATTTCGTTTATTTTTATTTATATCAAAATAAATGCCCAGATCTTTCGGGGTTCGGGGATCTTGTAGAGTTCATTTGCATAATTTTTACTTGTTTTGCATTGAACTTCATTACTCATTTTTTTAAATTTGTTTATATTGCTAAACAGCTGAAACTTTAGTGTAACTTTGATATCATTTAAACAATAAATGGTATTTTTGTAATTATCATATTAGAAATCAATATATACTCGATAGCAAAATGCATTTCTTTTCGCTCTGCTGTTCGTTTTGCAGTTCATAGTTTGCCTGGCGATTCTCAACTGGTTGCAGTTGGCTAATGAGCCAAATTCGGCTGGCAACTTCGGCCAATAGACTCTGTGTGAGCTGTGCTGCTGTTCATTTGGCTTTGGGTTTCATGGCTTCCAATTGTTGTTGTTGCGGGTGTTTTATTGACAATTAAACTCTAATTAAATGTGAATGGCAACTCATTAGTTTGGAGTGCGAAGCGTACGATAATATTTGAATAATATATGTATTTGAGAGAAATTAAATCAAACATTTTAATTGGGGTATTTTAGAGCTAGATTGGTTCGTTGTTGTTGTTGTTGTTGTCTGTGTATTGCATAATACGTGAGAATTTGTACAATTAGCGCTCGGTTTGGCTGTGGCGGTCAATGCCACGCCCACGCGGCACGCCTACGCCAAAGATACGGCCGACTGCAGTCAAAATGCATTTTCAGCTAATTACGAAACAAAAGCAAACAAAGCCTTAAACTCGAGTGGAAAGGCGGTTTAAGCCGAACGCTAAGCGCTTATCAGAGCGACGCAGGCAATGCAAGCAGCAGCAGCAGCAGCAGCAGAGGAGCAGCAGAGGAACAGCCACAGCAGCCGCAATATTAATGAAGCCATCGCATACACGCATCACATAATTTTGTGCCTTGCTCTCTGGCATGGCCCCCGCCCCTAGGTCTGCCACCCTTTGGCCGTCTCACGTTTTAGTTCAAAATTGATGATTTTCATTAACGACAAGTTAATAACTTAGGCCGCAGCCGTTTGGCGACTTCATTATCGATAGCAATCGGAAGGCAAACACAAGACATAAGCGACGCCTACTGTGTGTGCCTCGCCTCTGCCCCGTGACCCGGGACAGGCCGGCGCGTTTGGCGTTGTTTTGATATGCAATGTGGTTGGGTGCGATTTTGATGGCTGCCAGAACAACAAACAATGAAACGAGCGCACAAACAAACAACAATCAGCAGCAGCCTGCCACAAAATGTGTCGCCAAGTGGGCAATAAAATATAAATGCAGAGCCATGCTAAAAGTGCCAGCAACAAATGTTGCCAGCGCAGCAGCAGCAGCAGCAACAACAACCACCTGCAAGCAAAAATGTTGCCAAGCGACATTGAGTGCGCAAGCCAAATCGAGAGCGTGAGTCAGTGAGTATACGAGCCAAACGAGCAAGAGAGACAGCGAGAGCGAGAGCGAGAGCACGCCGTGGTGAGTTAGCACACACACAGCCAGCCAGCAACAAAGTGGATGCTGAGATGCTGCTCTGCGCTCTGCTCTGGCTGGCAACATATGTTGCCAAACATACGAGTGCAGACGCGATCGAATGCTGCACACGCACACAGCGACAGACACAGACACAGGCGCGCACACACACACAGGCACAGCAAACAAACAGCCGCTGACTTCGTGGGCTGGTGCGCGCGCTTCGTGCCCGACGATTACACAGTCGACTGTGAACTGGCAGGCCGACTTGACGTTAACCGAAGACCGAACGACGACGACAACCAGAGCAACGACAACCACGACCTACGCGACTCGCGCGCGATTTAAAACGCTCTCAACCCACGTACCAAAAAACGCTTGCGCGCGCTGCTCAGGACGCTGCCTGGCAAAAAGTGTAAACGGAACAATTGAGTGCGTTTCTGTGCTTGTGCCATTCAACTTGCAACAATTAACAGTTAACAGTGAAATATAAATACTTTTTTTTTTTCGTGTGATTTGTGTGTGATTTGCCCATTGTGAACGGCTGCGCCATGCAACGCTGGCAACTGTTTCTCTTGAGCCTGGGCGCGATTTCAGCGCTGGCCAAGCCCAACGATGCGTTCCTCAAAATGCTGTCCCTGCCCCGTGTCGAGGATCCGTGCTACGACTACGAAAAGGCACGCGCCTGCATTCCGGACTTTGTGAACGCCGCCTACGATGCGCCCGTCGTGGCCAGCAGCACCTGTGGCGCCCAGCAGCCGCAGCGCTACTGCGAATTCCAGGACCAGAGCAGCCGAGCAACTGGCTCCGGTTCCGGCTCCAGCGCTGGCGAGATGCAGTGCCACAGCTGCGAGGCGAACAGCTTTCCGCCACGCGCCCTCACCGATCTGAACAACTCCAACAACGTGACCTGCTGGCGATCGGCGCCGATTGCGCCCGGCTCCAGCTATGCCGGCGGCGGCCAGTGGGGCGACAATGTCACCTTGACCCTGTCCCTGGGCAAGAAGTACGAGCTCACCTATGTCAGTCTGCAGTTCTGTCCCCGTGCCCCACGGCCCGACTCCCTGGTCATCTACAAGAGCTCCGACTACGGCCGCACCTGGCAGCCCTTCCAGTACTACAGCTCGCAGTGCCGCCGCCTCTTCGGCCGGCCCGCCCGCACCACCGTCACCAAGCACAAAGAGCAGGAGGCGCGCTGCAGCGACGCCCATCGACATGGCCACGACGCCAACGGCGCTGGCAGCGGCGGCATGGCCTCGCGCATCGCCTTCAGCACGCTGGAGGGGCGACCCTCGGCCCGGGATCTGGACGCGTCGCCCGTGCTGCAGGACTGGGTGACGGCCACCGATATACGCATTGTCTTCTACCGCCTGCAGCAGCCCGATCCCCAGGCGCTGCTCAACATCGACTCGCCCGCCGATCTCCGCACCGGCAAATACAGCGTCCAGCTGGCGGGCAACAACATCGAGACCATTGGCGCCGCTGCTTCCGCGTCGGCGGCTGCCACTGCGGCAGCCGGACTGCACTACGCCGTCTCCGACTTCTCCGTGGGTGGGCGCTGCAAGTGCAATGGCCACGCCTCCAAGTGCTCGCCGGATGCCAGCGGACAGCTGAGCTGCGAGTGCCGCCACAATACGGACGGACGCGACTGCGAGCGCTGCAAACCCTTCTACTTCGATCGGCCCTGGGGACGAGCCACGGCACGGGATGCCAACGAGTGCAAAAGTGAGTACACTGAGAGAAACCAGACACAAGTTTTTACTGAATTTACATATAGAGAGGCTAATCTATATCGAAATTAGATTTAATCTAATACCGAATTGAGTGTGAAGTGAAATAACTGCAAAATTGTGTATAGTACACTGAAAGAAATTAAACCTGTGTTTTTGCTAGATTACAATTAACATTTGATGCCATATACATATATGAAAACAATATTTGAATTATTGAAAAACTGAGCTTAAATTAAGATTTTGTTTCTAAATGCTAATGTGAGTAGTACACTGAGAGAAACTACACTTAGGTTGTAACTAAATTTTTATTGAGATTTTAGTCAACATAAAAACGAGATTTCAGTTTTTTTACTAAATGGAGTTTGAATTGGAATTCGATTTCAAGTGCAAAACTGATACACTGAGAGAAAATACACTTGAGCCTTAACCAAATTGAGTTTGAATTGTGATTTGATTGAAAATCGAAATTAACTTAAAATGAAAAACAAACATTTCGCGTCTAAAATCTGGATATGTTCCAATTATATCGCAGCAATTCGTCTGCTTGTGATTTATACGATTTGACTTATTTTTAAACATATTTCCGATTGATGTTCCCCAACAATATATATTTCTCTTTGATATTTATGAGTATTTTATACATGTTTTTATTAAGCATAGGAAAAGTATTAAAAATTTATTGCACAGAATTTTGCGAACATCATATTAATTGCTTGGGCATTTAGATACCCATTGAGAACGGGCATTTGGCTGCAATGTGTGTAATGGGCAGCAGGAGGCGTGGTCGAGACCAGACAACAAAGTATATATATTCTTGATCTCAGGATTAGAACAGAAGAAACTTTTCCATTGAAAATAGGGAATTTCTGCTTGAAAGATTTGCCTGATATGTAGGTAGCAGGAGGCGGATAGTAGAAAGTGACGTATCATAAATTATATATAAGTAGGTATTGATCGGGGTGCCTTTGGATGAGTTGGACTAGCTCTGCATTGCTGTGGATCTCGAGATAGAGAGAAGAGAAAAAACTTGAAGAATTTTAAATTCGAAATTTAATGAAGAATGATTTGATTTAAATGTAATTCTGCAAATATATAGTTGTATATAATCTTCATCAAAATTATCACTAGTATAAAACTAGCTCTCATTCCTGAAACGCAGAAAATGTTTTTAGAAATTTTTGAATATTTTTATGGAAAGGCCAATTAAAACTTTCTAAAAATTCTGAACCATTTCAAAAAATTTCTTTGTATTACTGAAAAATGCCGTCAATTGGCGAAAGTCTTGGGGAATATTTCATTTTCGATTTGCTCTTGACATGCCAAAATATTAAAAAATGAAAGAAAGAAATGAAAACATTCAGCTACATTCTGTTGGCAGTGAGCTCTGAAGGAGTCGCTGGCGTGGGAGGGTTGGGCGGCTCTATGAATGATGAACTGCGCGTTCGTTGGGGTTGCTGAGGCTGAGTGTGTGGATGTTGGGTGGCTGGCTGGCTGATTGGGTGGTGCTGTGTGGGTGGGGGTACGGCTTAAACGACTCAATTTCAATCCAGACGACGTTTCGAGTCGCGTGTGTTTAGTTTTCGACTTAAAAATTGGTGATGGCATTTTGAATGTTGCGGGGGTTGCAACGTGCTCACAGAGAGGGAGCGGGGGTGGGGGCAAGGCGTTGGTTGCTCTTTTTGTGAAAGATTTGATTTCGTTCTGCTGCTTCTTCCACATAATATGAAAGAGTGGCTCCAGTGGCTCGAGCGGGCGGCGTTCAGTGTTTGCGCTGCAGATTTGGCTTAAACATAATTGAACAACAGCGGACACGTGTGGAGTGCAGAGCGCGTTTCAATCAATCGGCAACTGTTGGGCCAACCCTCGCTGGCAATCGACTCCGTTTACCTTTGGCCAGGGCATCGCATCAACAACAACGGCAAACAAACAACAAACATGCAATCAATACTGCAACGCTTAAGGAAAGTCAGCTGAAGAAATAACCAGAGCAACGAGAGAGAGAGAGAGAGAGAGAGGGAGAGGGCGCAAGTTAGTGTGAGCGAGAGGCAACTAGTTGTATTTGCTGCTCAGCTAAACCCTCGCAATTAACCCCCTGCCCAGGCCAGAGCAGCGCTCTCAGCTCAAACAATAAACGCGAATTTAAGCGAAATTAATTTGATAAGCATTTTCAAAAGAATCGACGCGATTGCGAGCCGTCGACTCGCGGGGGGACTGTGGGGGGAGGGGCACTGCTGCTGCCTTAGGGGTAGCGTTTCTATTACATATTTCATTTGTTTTGCTTTTGTGTGTTGATTGTCATGTTGTTGTTGTTGTTGTTGTTGTTGTTCTTTGCTGTGGCACGATCCGCAGCGGGGCAGCCAGCTGCTGCCCAGGCTCCAAATTTCGCAAATATATATAGATATGTATGCATATACATATGTGTATATATTTATGTATGTGTGTGTGTGTGTGTGCTCAGTCTGCTCTGCGCTGGCCTTGTAAACGATGTGTCAATGTTTTTGTGGCACTTGCTGCAAGTGGCATGTACCGTGCGCATCTCGCGTGGATGCCACATGCCAAACATGCCACAGCAGCAGCAGCAGCAGCAGCAACAATCAGATGAGAATTGCATTTTTTGCACGGCTCGAGGGGAGGGGGCGAGCCGTTGCTTAGTGCATAAATCACACAGTGCGCCACGAGGTCCAGGCAAACAGGACAAACCAAAGGCCGAGGACATGGGCATTGCCCAGGCTGCCTGGAAGCGAGGCAGGCAGGCCGGCTGGCAGGCAAAATCTGAAGGGCGGGCGGGCAGGCAGGCGCGTCTGTTATCAGAGCTGGGCCACGTGTGGCAGCAACCGCTGCGCTTTATTAGGGTTGCAAATGCAGTGCCGGACGGCACGGCGACCCTTCCACGGCCACGGAGCACGCCCCTTTGCCTGCCACGCATATGTTGCATGTTTATGGGCAAACGAAATTAACGCTCTGCCAAACTTTTGCCTTTGACGTTCAATGTGACCTCAACAACAGCAACAACTGCCGGCAATTACAACCAACAACAACAACAGCAACAACAACAGCAGCAGCACAAGAAAAAACCAGAGAAAATTGGAAAATTTTTGCGTCGCATCTCTACAAATATGCCTCATTTTTGGCACATAATGAGTGCGTGTGTGTGTGTGTGCGTGTGTGTGTGCGTGTAATTGCTGTTAACAACAACTAATAACAACTAACGCCTCGTTGTGCGCTGAGATCTATGCAGCGAGCCCGCATAGATTTCAATTAGACGAACGTAATCCGACAGCCAAGCTAAAGGAGTCTTTGCACCATGGACGAAATACACATTTTGGTGGGCATAAAATAAGAGCTGCTAAAGCCTTACATGCATATCTAAACAGTACAATATTCACAGTTAGGTTCTGCTATTTTATATATGTATATAATTATATATCTATGTACATATATACATATGTATAGACTATATAATATATAAGTAAATATCCCAATTAAATAAAATCAAATAATTTTAAACTTCTTCTATGAGCCAGTGTTAATTAGTGTTGCCTAGTTAGTACTCATTTTAAGTATTTTTAACTTCTATCAACAGTGAGTATATTTATACTGGCATCCCAGAGTTTCATAGGCCATGTATAAACTCTCTAGTTCAATGCCTCGATTAAGTGCTTAGAGTATTCTAATTTAGGCATTTTTAAAAGGAGGTTTGCAGGGGACAAAATATTAAAGAGTAAACTTTTCCATGGTAAACCTTTTTATTTTTATTAAATTTATTATTAAGTTTAACTTATATTTAAAAAAAAAAAAAAAAATTATATTAAACTGTTCTCTTTGAAAAAAAAAAATTATATAAAATATTAAAAAAATAAAATAAATAAATAAATCCAAATCTAAGTAATATAATCTAATTTGCCTAGGTAGCTAGGTTAGGCTTGAGGCGGGAGCAAACTACTTTGTACCTTTATAAGATTTTCTTGGGATGTGAAATGCTTAGAGATTTTAAATATTAAAGACAAAGAAAAATTTTAAAAAATTAAAAAAAAATTGTATTATTTAAATCACATTCAACTTTGACTAAAATAACTTCCATAAACAATATATATAAAGTTGAATGTGATTTAAATAATACAATTTTTGCAAATCTTTAGATATCTAGCCAATAGTAGCTAGACCAAGCATTAGGCGGAGCATGAGACTTTGAGCATTATGATTCGAAACATTGAAGACAAAGTCAAATTTATTTGATTTAAATCACATCAAATCAAGTCAAGTTTTCACTATGCCTGAAAGAACTTCCATAAAGAATTCCAAATCTCTAGATATTTGGCCCATAGTAGCGAGGCGAGGCGTGAGGCGAGCGCATGTGACTGTGCTGCCACATTGGTTGCATCAACCAATTACACACACACACACACACACAGACATTGCAAAGTAATGCGAGTCTATGCAAATTGTCAGTTTTTGTCATGTTTCCAATATAAATTGAGTTGCCTAGGCTGCAATTTGATTTGCGCTCGAACTCAATGAAATTGAAATTGTAGACAATTTGCCTTAAGCTAAAAGAAAATACAAATTAAATGGACTAAATGATGCAGCTGCAACAGGCAAAGCGCATCGATTCTAATTTAGTTGAGTTCAATGACAAATTTTCCTTTTGCTAATGCAAGAGAAACTAAAACTCTTCGACTATACGAGAGAGTTAAGGCATTAGCAGGAGTTTTGAGCCAGCCAGATTTTAGTTCTAGTGCCAGGTCAAAGGTCTGTGGGGCTTTAGCTCTGTCTCTTTCTTTTTGTAACCCCTGTCAGCTGCTCACTAATCGCATGCAAACGTGCCACGCCTCATTTATATGGCCAATGAATGGCACATTAGCAGCACTTTATCATAATTAAAATGCAAGCCATGCCACACACACAAACACACACACACAGAGAGAGCGACGCCCACCCAGCAGAGGCGCCCACATCAGGCAGGCGCCAAAAAAACTTTTGCAAAAAATAGAGGTAAAAAAAAAATTAACGAAGAGGAAAAATAAAGAGAAATTGCTATTGGAGAAGAAACTGGCAAAGATTTAGAAATA